TTGTAGAAGCTTTATTCGTAATAGCTAGAACCTGGAAACAACCCAGATGTCCATCAAAGAGGAATGGATACAGAAATTGTGTTACATTTACACAATGGAATACTACTCAGCAATTAAAAACAAGGAAATCATAAAATTTGCAGGCAAATGGTGGGATCTCGAAAAGATCATCCTGAGTGAGGTATCCCAGAAGCAGAAAGACACACATGGTATATAAGCAATTATAAGTGGATACTAGACCTGCAAGTTAGGACAAACATACTAAACTCTGTACACCTAAAGAAGCTAAACAAGAAGGAGTACCCTGGGTAAGATGATCAATCCTCACTTAGAAAGACAAATGGGATGGACATTGGAAGTAGGAGAAAACAAGAAATAGGACAGGAGCCTACCATAGAAGGCATCTGAAAGACTCTACCTAGGAGTGTATCAAAGCAGATGCTGAGACTCATAACCAAACCTTGGGCAAAGTGCAGGGAATCATATGAAATAAGGGGGAATTAGTAAGACCTGGAGAGGACAGGAGTGCCACAAGGACCAAATATATGTGGACATAGGAGTCTTTTCTGAGACTGATTCTCCAAACAAGGGTCATGCATGGATATAACCTAGAACCTCTGCTCAGACAACGCCCATGGCAGCTCAGCATCCAAGTGGGTTTCCCTAGTAAGGATAACAAGGGACTGTCTCTGATATGATCACAGTGGCGGGCTCTTTGACAGCTCCCCCTGCCCCAAGGGAGAAGCAGCCTTGCTAGACCACAGAGGAGGACATTGCAGCCAGTCCTGATGAGACCTGATAAACTAGGGTCAAATGGAAGGGGAGGAGGACCTCCCCTATTAGTGGACTTAGAGAGAAGCAGGAGGAGATGAGGGAGGGAGGGAAGGGATGGAAGGGAATGAGGGAGGCTGCTACATCTGGGATACAAATTAAATAACCTGTAATTAATATAAAAAATAAAAATTATAAAAAAGTATGTGTGATGGAATATTACTCAGCAATAAAAAACAAGGAAATCATGAAATTTGCAGGTAAATGGTAGGAACTGGAAAAGATCATCCTGAGTGAGGAATCCCAGAAGCAGAAAGACACACAGGGTATACACTCACTCATAAGTGGATATTAAACATATAATATAGGATAAACCTACTAAAATCTGTAAACCTAACGAAACTAATCAAGAAGGAGGACTCTGGCTAAAATGCTCAATTCCCATTCAAAAACGCGAAGAGTATGGACATCAGAAGAAGGAGAAAACAGGCAATAGGACAGAAGTTTGCCAGAGAGGGCCTCTGAAAGACTACCCTTCAAGGTATCAAAGTAGATGCTGAGACTTATGACCAACCTTTGGGCAGAGTGCAGGGAATCTTAAGGAAGAAGTGGGAAATAGTAAGTCTTGGAGAGAAAGTAAGTTCTACAAGGCGAGCAACAGAACCAAAAAATATGAGCACAGGGGTATTTTCTGAGAATGATACTCCAACCAAGGACTATGCATGGAGATAACCTAAGACCCTTGCACAGATGTAGCCCATGGCAGTCAGTGTTCAAGTGGGTTACACAGTAATGGGAACAGCGACAGTCTCTGACATGAACTGATTGGCCTGATCTTTGATCACTTCCCCCTGAGAGCGGGGACAGTCTTACCAGGCCACAGAGGAAGACAATGCTGCCACTCCTGATGAGACCTGATAGATTAGGATCAGAAGGAAGGGGAGGAAGATCACCCCTATCAGTGCACTTGGGAAGTGGCATTCATAGACATGAGGGAAGGAGGGTGGGATTGGGTGGGGAGGTGGGAGGGAGCTACAGAGAGGATACAAAGTGAATATATTGTAATTAATAAAAATTAAAATAAAAATATTTTAAAAAGGATGTGTGGATATATATTGTTCTTTTTTCCCCCAGAATTGATGACATTATTCAGGGTCTTTTGTGTTACCACATGAATTTATTTATTTTTTTCTATTACTGTGAAGAATGGTATTGATATTTTGAATGAAATTACATTGACTATTATGTTTTTGGTAGTATAGGCATCTTCAGAATATTGTTTGCTCATCTTGAGCATCAGTAGTCTTTACATCTGCCTTAGTTAGATTTTCTGTTGCTGTGGTAAAATATCATAGTCAAAAGCAACTTAGGGAAGAAAGGGTTTATTTCAAGCTTATAATTCCACATCACAGTGCATCATCTAAGGAAGTCAAGGCAAAAATCTGGATACAGAAATTGAAGCAGAAACCATGGTGGAGTGCAGCATACTAGTTCTAATTCGAGCTTTTTCATCCTGCTTTTTTATAGCACCTGGGACCACCAATCCTGGGGGTGGTACCACTAAAAGTGATCTGGAGTTTTCCTCATCAGTCATCAGTCATGTATGCAGGGTGCCTAGTACAAGCAAATATTTGACTATAAACTATAGAGTCAACCACAGCTGCTTGATAGAATGCCTATGAAAATGTCCTTCTTGCCAAGTAACGATGGTAATCCTTTTATCTCTAATAACTATTGGAGGATTAATATACATGGTTAGTATGATAGGTATATAGTGGAGCATTACCAAGACTGCAAGTAGAAAGAACGTAGTCTGTGTAAGGGTGTGAATTAGTGTTAGATCAATTGCAAAAATAATATTGAAATGAGGAAAAATATTGAGAGGAGAGAGTTTGGATATTGTTAGTGTCTAATAGTTTAAGCATTTTTACGGTTTTGGAAAGTTAGAGTTAATAAAGAAAGAAGATGGGAAAGGGAAGACAAAACTGAAAAAGAAGTGGAAAAGTACATGGGTTTTATGTAGGAAAAATACAGACTACATAATAGCATAATGGGTTCAAAAGCATGCAACACAATCACACAACATGAGCAATGTATGACCCAAAGCAAGACACTTACAGAGTATTTATTTAATACTAAAAATTTAAAAATGAAAAGGATAAATAAAAATTAACAAAAATTTTAATAGTAGCAAAAAAAGACAAAGTGTAATAAAAGCCCTTTGGGTTTTAGAGACATTATATCTGTTAACAATTCTTTCATCCTGGAATGGGTTTTAATTATTTCTTGCCTTCAAAAGTGTCATGTGGCAAATTGCAGGAATGAGGGAGGTGCAATTTGTTTTTTATTCCAGTAGAAAGCTGTAAAGCCTGATTTTGTGTTTGTATTGTTCCATAGAAGTTATATGCCAAAAATTTGGATTAAGTATTTGGCACAGCTGCAGTGAGACGTGAAGTGTAGTTCTCACTTCTATTCTTGATACTCTGTGTGGTTTGGCATCACTGTGCTGGAGAAGACAGTGTTATCTCTAGCTGTGAGTTCCCATAGACTATACCTACGAACTTGAGATAAAGAGGGTTAATTACATTGTCAAATTTCAGCTACTGGACCCACCCAGCCTGTATTTTTATTTTTCTTCATTTATTTATTTATTTGTTCATTCCAATCTTAACCTCACTCTCTCTTCTCCTCTGAGTCTCACCCTCCCACCCATCTACCCCATACACCCCTCACTGACACCCCAGATATCTATCACCCTTGTACATCAAGTCACAATAAGACTAAATGCCTCCTCTTTCACTGAGGGAAAACAAGGCAACCCTGGTAGGGAAAAGGGACCCAGAGAGATGCAACAGAGTCCAAGTCAGAGATAGAACCCTACTCTATTTGTTAGGGGACCCACTTGAGGACCTAGTATCCAATCAGCTTCATATGTTTAGGGGACCTAAGACCATGTTAGTGTCCGTGACCCCTCCAGCTCCCTTAATCCTTTCTCTAAGTGTTCCACAAGACTGGCTAATGCTTGCCTATGGGTCTCTGCATCTGTTTCCATTATCTGCTGAATGAGCCTCTCAGATGACAGTTCAACTAGGCTCCTGTCTGCAATAATAGCAGAGTATCATTAATAGTGTCAGAGGTTGGCTGTCTTCCATGGCCTAGGTCTTTTGTTGCAAGTGTTTCCTCAAGCTGTGTCACCCTTCTGGTGTGTGGGAAAGGAGAAGGAAGTGTAGCTTTTGTCTTGCAATTCCCTCTTAACCTCAGCTGGAGCTCTGCTGTGAGAACTAAGCCTTTAGTTCCCAGGCTTCATCTCCAATTGCATACTCATCCTTGGTTATACAGCTAACTGTTAACCGAAGTGCTGCTGAGTGTGTGTGCTGCAAAGTGCTTCCCCATGGTTTCCAATTACCTCACCAGAGCCAATTTGTGCAGCTAGGCACCAATTCACAGCCTTTCTTGTGTGCTTCCCCACAGAGATCTCAGTTGGCTTAATAAGTCCATTTACAGCTACTGTCTCTTGTAAGAATAAAGATTATCCTGTACTATCCTGTTTTCTTTCAGCGAGTTGCATCATAAAATCTCTAATCAGCCAAATTCCCTGAACACACCTATTCTTAATTCTTGAGGAAATTCTGTGCTCTTTTACATGGCTTCATTCTTACTAGGGAAGAAGAGGATTTTTTTCTACATCCTTATCAGCATTTTAATAGGAATAAGTTAACTTTGCTTTGTTTAACACTTCTTTATTGCAAAAATTGTAGCCCTCTGTATTTTCATATCTCTTCATGAGGTGCCTTAGTATCTCATTAAAGTGTTCCCTGCCTCTGAGTCTGCTAGCCTTACTTCTTGTTTGAACAATGACTATTACTGTATAATAGTACCTATTTGTATCTCATTGTATCTGCTGAATTGAACTAGTTATATTTGAAATTGATTGTATTGCTAATATTGACTGACCTCAGTTTTTTTTTTCTTTAAACATTTTTTTCTTTATTTCTTTTAAAAGACACACACACACATGCACACAAACACACACACAGGCACACTTCTGGGTTTCATATATATATATGTATATACATAAATACGTATGTGTATGTATGTATGCATATACATATACATGTATATACGTATGCACATATATATGTATATATATCTGTGTATATATGTATGTATGTATACATATATGTACATGTATTAATTTTACATGTATATGTACTGATCAAAAGGGTTACCTTGGAGAGCTCCTGTCCAGGGCCACATTTTTGGCAGGTGACACAGCGCCCCCATTGGTCCCGGTACTCATTTTCTTGACAATCCATGATGAAAAACCTGTGGGTAAAGAAAATAATTACTACTGTGTTAAAAGGAAAAATTTAAAGTAGTGGCTTCCCTGACACCTGGCTTCTGTGTCGTCATAACTGTGGGTTTAGTGAGAATGTCCAAGGAAGCTAACCTAAAGCAGCTAAAACTTTAAGAGTAGTAACTAACAGTGTGCCCCAAACTCTTCTAAATACTTCTTGTGTGCTAATGCATTCAATTTTCAAAAAGTAATCTCACAAATTATTATTAATTCCATTTTACAGGTAAGAAAGGTCAGACAAAGGGACTAACAAATTTTCAACTTGTGGTTTTACCGGGAGCTTTAGGGACAAAGGAAAGAGAGAAAAGAAAGAAAGAAAGAAAGAAAGAAAGAAAGAAAGAAAGAAAGAAAGAAAGAAAGAAAGAAAGAAAGAAAGAAAGAAAGA